CTTGTTAAGTGTATGCAGTTAATAGAATGGTCCGCATCTAAGTTGACCTGCTAATTGCCATTCTGGAAGATTAGTCACGTTTTACAGAACTTCCTAATTACATGCATGTACACAAGCGGTCTCTGCAGGCAGCTTCCAATCATGAGTCCCTGTAATCTGGAGTTTAAAAGAGGCTATTTTGGCTTCCTTACAATTAGGTTCCGATTCGTCTTCTGACATACATAATAACGATTTTCTTATTATCTTCCCTGAACAGATTTAATGATATTCTTGCGGCTGTAAGATAAAGATAGTCTTCACTCGGTAAATAGCGTACGGCTTACTTATGAAATATTTCCCACTTCGTTGAGCAACTCACCGATGTATACAGGAACAAGACAATGCAACTGCTTAAAGCATCGGCAACATAGGGGAAAGTATACTTTATGCATTTACGTAAACGTCGACCTGCTCGAGTCGTAGTCCCCGATCGTCTGGATTGATGTACCCAAATCAATCTCCCACACCTAAAGTCTATGATTACCTGAGTTTATGATCTAAAATGATATGAGCGTTCCATATGACCTTATTCCAATTCTCTTTCCTTACTCCTCGCTTGCATTCATTGCAGTAGAGAAAATACTAAAAACTAAGTGGTAGGGGGCGCTCACCGATCGTTCTTACGGAACTCACTCGTTCCGTTATGCCTTACGGGCTCTTTCACGAGCCCAACCAGCAGCCGCACAGCGGCGCATGATATGGGCAGTATGTTATTACCGGCAAAGACAGTGGTTAGAGGCGTGAAATTCTAACTAACAGATCGCGAGTTCGAGCCTCGGGTGTTCCACACTTCAGGGTTGGGTATGGCTGACTGACGACGGCTAATAAGCCAGAAATGGCCATTCCAGTCTCCCTTATCTTTGTCGGTAATAACATAAAACTAAGTTTTAAACTGCCGATGACTGTAAAAATCGTAGTTTTCCTCTTTTAGAGACCGAGAGGAAGTACGCGCACGAGTCCAAAACGCCAGGTCGATAGTCTTCTTCTTCCAACTGCAGCTCACGGCTCGGTCACTAATTGCACGCGATTTCAGCGAAGAGATCCTGGCGTTCAGAAGTACAGAGTTATTCGGGACGTGACTTTACAGGCATCTAGTATGACTTGCCCTTGTCATCCCCTTACCAACCGCGTTTCCGGCCAGGTCGATTACATCTGTCTGTGCCCTTTTGAGGTGACTCCCCTCAAGAGCACAGCAAAAACGACAAGGGTCACAATCGAGGAGAGACCTTCCTTACGTTTCTGTGATTTGTATGACGCTCACCGTCGCGCGTTCACGAGCCGGCAGCTGCCCCTAACATCACAATCCCACGTGCTGGCACATTGAAGTCGTTGCCTTCATGACAGAAAATGAAGATGTGTTGACACGCTGGGCGTGATATTTACATACAACTGTTGACTGAAGTGCGATGGACATTCGTACGACGCCATAGTTGGCAAATATAGGCTGACAGATGGAAGGAGATCTGAGTTGACTGCAGACGCCAGAAAGCGAATCGGAGATTCCGGCGATTACCGTCGGGCGAATATGCACGTGGGTGTGCCTTGGGGATGGAGTGCCGGGCTCTACCTGCCGAGCCGATTGAAGCGTTAATCTAATGTGTATTCCCCCCCCCCGCCCCCCTGCCCCAGTTTACGCCTGCTCCCGACACCAGGTGACCCTGATCCATCCTCACATGTCACATAACGCTCCAGTTGGCGCAATATCGCCTCGTCATGCTTGAACTGTCACAAGACTGCAAGGTGGGCCCGGTGGTGTCTGAGGGGGTGGGGAGACAACGCCACACCGACACAAGTCAAACAGCTATCCTACGATAAATACTGCTACTGGGCGTCTACTTGTTAGCTTCCAGGCTGACAGCTGTCGACGTTTACAGGGCCATTCTGGATTCGCATTAGTTTTGGCACCGGGTTTGAATAGCCGCGAAACCTACGAGAATCCGTAGTATACGAAGGTCTCACCAGATGGGAAGACTGCATCCTGGGATTCAATTCGGAGACTCGTCTGTCGGTTTGAAAGTAAAAACATCTAGCGTTGAGGTGCAGAGCGTACGCCTGCGTCCCCAGCTAGCCCTACATTCGGACAAAATAGCTGTTAATATTTAACGGCCACACATGTCACAAAAACTACTAGCGAATTCATAATGTGCGTTGAAATACCTGAACTGCCCCCCAAATCACGTAATTCCACTGAAGAAATGTGTCTGGCTGCGTTTATGGCACTTTTAATTCCTCAAAGATAGTTTTCTTGAGCTTTCGGCCCTTACTGGGGTCAATATTCTCTCACGTATGCAACCACCAAAGGGAAGCCTGGTTATGTCAAAGGAGGGGAGATTGGAAGGTATTTTACTACTAATTGAAAGGAAATTATGTCTGATTATTCTGTATGCTGACCTCAAGCTCTGCTTATCTCGCAACATACCGGACCCAGCAGGATTTGAAAGAGGAGTTGTCCACGATCATCCTTGTAAGTCGGGTTGCTGGGACTTTGTTAGTGGGTCCTAAGGGGCGAAACACAGGTTGCACTGGCTTCCGTTAACTTGGTCGTCAAGCTATGTTGTTTCTGCTCATATTTTTTACGGACCAACTGAAGCAAGTGGACACAGCCTGAGGAAAAGCGGCAAAATATTTGTGCATTTCTGTCCCGCTACTGATGATGGCAACTGTTTCTTAAAATTTGCGCGCTCGATTTGAGAGCCTTCGTGAGGCCATGAGGAAGCTTATGCTTCAAGCGTGCAATGTGCATGCACCATGTACCAGTAATTCAACCTTCACACATGGCCTCTACGCCACTGAAAGGACGTACACAGCTAACGCGTACTTCCCACACCTGGGTTAGTTTCATTGGATAAAAAGATTGTATTTTGTTGTCAGGGATTTGGTACTGCAGTATAGCCCACGTTTCGCAGCCTACTCAGACTTACGTACTAAATTATTTTAAGATTAAACTTTCCCGGGACGGGGGAACCCGCTCTTCCCGTCGCGATGGTCATTCCTGGCTGACACCACTTGTGGAAAGCTTGATGGCTACGGTGGGATTCGAACCCATGACAGCAGGGGCAAGTCTTGATTAATACCACAGACACGTGAGGTACGATGTCCCACTGGAGGGCGTGAATCTGATCACATTTAGGTCAAGTCACCTCCTTAGCCTGATGCAAATTATGGAATCCAACGTATGAGGGCACCAGTTAATTAATTAAGCCTGATTGTCATCTGGTGGATTCTAAATTGATCGCCTAGGAAATCCTGTTTAGGCTTACTGCATCAGAACTGGTAGACTGGGCGGGTAACTTGACCCGGATGTGAGTAAATAAATTCACGGCTCCTGGTGGGGGCCTCGTTGCTCAAATGGTTAGAGCGTTGATTGCATTCAAGCCTTGTCTGGCTGTTGTGGGTTCAATTCCAGCTGGCACCACCGAGTTCTCCTTTACAAGTGGGCCAAATAAATTATTCAGAACAGCCAATAACATCTCTTGTATTTGCCAGTATTCTTGCGGCACAACGAGGCACAAGTTATTTCACAAAATCCGCATGCAACTTCAGTATTCAGACAGCCTGAAGGACAAAAATGCTGTTGGTCAGCGCGATGTGGTTGTCGTGTGCGAACGACAAATAACGACTGGCACAAGGATAACAACCTCGCCTAATAGTTGGGTGAGAAATGCTATGTATTACACACACCGCACTGCCACGAGGTAACTTCCTCTCGCAACGCCGCTTACCGAATGTATGCGTGTGTGTCTGTCTGTTGGTGGTAGCACTGCTACCCCTCAACAACCGTTCTGCTTGTTGA